CGCCCTTTGATTTTTTTTTTTTTTTTTTTTTTTTTTGGTACCAGGGATCAAACTCAGGACCTTGCGCTTGCAAGGCAGGCAGTGGAACCACTGGGCTAAATCCCCGGCTGTAGCTCCTTCTTCTTGATCCATTCTGCTAGTCTGTTTCTTTTGATTGGTGAATTGAGACCACTTACATTGATGGTTAAACTGAAATGTATTGACTTATCCTCCTCATTATTTTCCTATTTTTGGTTCCTCTTTTTTTTTTTTTTTTTTTTAATCTTATTGAGCTTATTGGTACTTTTAATGTATACAGTGCAGTTACATTCTTCCCTGGGATCTTGTACCTTTACATGACAGATCTTGGTTCTCATTTTTTCCCCCATACCCCTGCCCTCCTTTCACCCCCTTCACCCTCTCCTATTTACAAAGACTTCGTTCCCATTTTTTCCTTTTCTCATATTATTTCTTGTCTCTTATTTCCTTTCCCACTTCCCCTATTATTGGTTACCTTTTTTTACATCCCTCTGTTTAATTGCTTGCCTTGCCTGGTGGATTCATTATGTTGGGGTTCCTGGAGTTGTATTCCTTGTAATCTCTTTCCAGAATGTCTTTCAGAACATTTTGGAGCACTGGTTTGGTGGTCATGAATTTCTTCAGGTGTTCTTTGTCATGGAAGTATCTTTTTTCTCTATCAATTTTGAAAGATAGTTTTGGGTTTTTTTTTAATTTTTTGGGGGGGGTACCAGGGATTGAACTCAGGACCTTGCACTTGTGAGGCAGGTGGTGGAACCACTGAGCCAAACCCCTGGCCCCTTGAAAACTAGTTTTGCAGGTACATCAATCTGAGTTGGAAGTTGTTTGCTTTTAGAGCTTGAAATACTTCACTCCAAGCTTTCCTTCACTTAAGAGTTTATGTTGAGGTCTGCTATGATTCTGATAGGCTTCCCTTTATAAGATGATCTGTTTCTTTTCTCTAACAGTTTTTTTTTTTTTTTTTTTTTTTTTTTTTTTTTTTTTTTTGTATCGGGATCAAACTTGGGTCCTTGTGCTTTCGTTGAAGGCTGCAGAACCACTGAGGTAAATCCCCAGCCTCTAACAGCTTTTTTTTTTCTTCTGGTACCGAGGATCAAACTTAGGATGTTACACTTGCAAGGCAGGCAGCAGAACCACTGAGCTAAATCCCCAGTCCTAACAGCTTTTATATTCTGTTCTTATGTTGAATTTCTGGAATCTTTATTTGTTTGTTTGTTTTGATTTTTAGTACTGGGGATTGAACTCAGCACCTTGTCCTTGCTAGGCAGGCTGCAGAACCACTGAGCTAAATCCCCAGCCCTGGAATCTTAAATATTATATGCCATGGTATAGATTTTTTTTTAAATCATGGCTAATTAGAGTTGTGTATGCTTCATTTATCTGTATGTCAAATTCTTTTTCCCTGCTTGGGAAGTTTTCTGCCAATACTTAGGGTTAGGGTTAGGGTTAGGGTTAGGCTGTGAAGAAGTTTTTTTGTATGTCATTTGCGCTATCTCCTGTTTTTTCATTGACTCCAATCAATCTTATGTTATTCTTCTTTACATCATCTAGTAGCTGTTGGATTGATTTTTTTTTTTTGGTCCCTTGCAATTTTTAACAGATCTTTCTTTTCATGATCACTAATCTCAATCCTGTCTTCTGTATCTGATACTCTGTCCTCACCTTGACTCATTCTGCTGCATATATGTTCAATGGAATTTTTAATCTGGATATCTGTTTGAATCTGTTTCATGGATTCTGTTTCTTTCCTGTATTGTGCATTTATGGTTTCTATCAATTTCCTAAGCTCTATTTTTTTTCTATCTGTATCTGCTGTAGAGTCACTATTCATGTCTTTCATTATGGTCATCATCTCTGTAGTTATCTGAGACCCTTTTTTTGCGGGGGTACTGGGGTATGAACTCAGGACCTTGTGCTT